GGAATAAATGGCAAGGCCGAACATCAGGTTTCTATGGAGAAGTATTGGGGTCTTGGGAAGTAAATGTCAAGAACCAATACGCCGGGTAGTCATCGGTGCCTTGGGAATAAATGTGAAGGACTGGTGCACAGTTCTAGACCTTGGGAATAAATGGCAAGGTCGAACTTCAAGTTTCTGTAGAGAAGTGTTGGGGCCTTGGGAATAAATGCCAAGGGCCAAAACGATTAGAGGAGTTAAGTACGGAGGACTAACGTGAAGGGGTGCTTAAGATGTAACAGTTCTAGACCTTGGGAATAAATGACAGGGTCGAACACCAAGCGTTGAACAGGGAGGTCGGTATGTTGGGAATAAATGTCAAGAGCCGTTACGCCTCGAAAAGTTAGACTTGGAGTACTAACATCGAGTGGGAGTGAGTGTTAGTTCAAGTATGGACAAGTGCTAGTGGGTAGTGTGGTTGGAGTCCCGGAAGTCTAGGTGATGGGTTGCTTGTATGGAATTGTTAATCTATTATTATTATCCCGTGCTGCCTATCTGTTGTTCTGCTATTGTTCTTTTGATGTGGTTGTGATTACGAGCGTGTTGCGGTGTTTAGTTGGGGTGGGCTACTTACGGAGTATTTATGTACTCACCCCCCTATATCTTTTTGTGTCAGGTGTGAACCGGGCCGACCGTGGTGATGACGTGGAGGAGGTCTAACTGAGGTGGGATCACTAGCTGTGTCGGTTAGGCTAGGGAATGATGTGGCGCAATGCAGATATCGTTAATATCTTACTGCTATGAAATAAAAAGGGGAATTAGACATTGGGTTAACTCCAAGAAAACTTTGTTTTATTGCTTTATGGGTATTCTGTTTTTACTATTCGAACTACGGATGTATTGGGGATTACGAGACAAAATGATTATATTCTTGATTGGATTCCTGACCATTGAGGCGGGTATTATCTCCTGAATATTCTATTATTGTGTACCTCCATTTTGTTTGATGCATTAAGAAAACATTACATTTTTGTTACTTTAAATTGGATGGTTCAGTAAGCATTATAGGGCCGTTACCTTGTTAAACGTGTCAGAAATCTGGGTCTTTACAGTTGGTATCAGAGCCGAAACGTTCCTGTAGACTGACCTAGTAACAAGGGTACTTAGGAGTAGTGATCCCGATCGACTTTCTTGTCATCACCGGGTACGCCTCATGCTTGCTCTTATGAACTTATACTTTCCCCATGAATTGCCTCTGCGTTTAATTCTTTTCTCGTCAGTTAAAGTTGCAGCTCAGTTTCATTAGGCCTAGTGCGGTCACAGAGTATACCAGCTAGAATGTAGCTGACCTTGCTCTTATGTGGGAGTTTCGACTGTCATTCTATTGTTGGTCTTTTCGTAGAGTAACGTACTAACGTCGTGCTTGATTGTTGTGCTCTTTCATCCAGAAAATGCCACCCCGTCGTAGTATGAGGCTTCGTGCAGGTGTCGACCCAACTCCCGGAGGTGAAAATGTGGCGGACCCACCACCCCCTCCTGCTGGTGTTCAGGCAGAGGTAGTTCCTCCAATTCCTCCAGCAGCAGATCAGGAGCRGGTCAATCCCCCAGTTCCCCCGAAAGTTCCCCAGCGAAACCCATAGTTGGCGTTGCTTGTGGAGGCGTTGTAGGCACTGGTCAATAACACAGCAGGGGTTGGCGGTGCACAAACTCAGCCACCTCGACACTTTCATACTCCCTAGAGCGAAGCTCAATTCATCAAGGATTTCAAGCGTTACGGACCCCCTACCTTTGACGGGGGAAGCGAGAAAGCGACAGCAGCAAAAGAGTGGGTCAGGGAGTTGGAAGCCCTTTACGTGTACCTGGGTTGCGAGGACCAATTCAAGGTCAAGGGTGCGGTTTTATGTTGAGGGGCGAGGCTCTGAATTGGTGGGACTCAGTAGCAGCGGCTGAAGATCATGCTAACGTACCAGTTACGTGGGCAGGGTTCAAGGACTTGTTGTACGACTATTATTACCCGGAGACCGTGAAAGATATGAAAGAGAAAGAATTCCTCCAACTCAGCCAAGGAACCTTAACGGTAGTACAGTATGAAAGGAAGTTTACGGAGCTCTCTCGTTTTGCTCGGGAATTCATTCCCACTAAAGCAATTAAGATCAAGAGGTTTGTTAAGGGATTACGCAAGGGAATAAGGGGACCAGTAGACCTTCAGCGACCCGTCACCTACGCTGAAGCAGGTAGGGGCGCCTTGACCATGGATAAGGATGTCTCAAACAGGGTCCATCCTCTGGTGGAAGTCGGATGATCTTCAGGTGTGAAAAAGAAGGTCTCTCCGGCTTACGCCGACCAGCCATTTAGAGCACCCCAGCACCCGGTTCAGCAGCAGGGCCTGCCACGAGTGCCTCTCCTGCCAGAAAAGACATGCGGGGCAGTGTTGGACGGGAAATAAGGGTTGTTTCAGGTGCGGAAG